TATTAACTTTGCAACATTTAATAATCTTTGATGAGCTTCGTTAAGTGATTCTTTGTCTAATATTCTACAGACCAACAAATTACATGCTCTAACAAAGTTTGAAAAATATGTTGATCTGATTCTGTTAATAAATCCCATATAATAGCAGTGGCATATATCATTATAAATAATCATCACTGGTCTGCTGTATATCCAGAAAATCTCTCTTTTGTAGCAATTTTATAAGAAATTCTCCTGATATCTGATGGAGGTTATAATTTTTTTGCCCTTTTATCTATAAGTTTCAGATTATCAGCACTTAATTTTCCACCTTCTATCCAAAGTCATATAACAATCCACTTTGCAATTCCCAAAAATAAACAATGCATTGAGTCTACAATTATATATTTAATTAGGTTAAAATAAGGAAAATGATAGAGTTCTGACTATCTCACCAATTTTTTGGAGAGGTGTTTCTTTCTTTGATCCTCAGTATTACATGTTTGATTGGGTTAAAATAAGAAAGACGATAGAGTTCTGACCATCTCACCAATTTTTTGAAGAGATGTTTCTTTCTTTGATCTTCAGTATTGCACAGTTTCTATTCATATGCATCTTTTTTAATTTTCTCAATATCACGCTCTACAAACCAGTCTTCCATATCCAAAAATCTACCAAAATTAGGCTGATGTCTAGCATCAAACTGTGCATGTTTTTCATATTGAAAACATGCAATTCTTGCTGATATTTGTCCACATAACTTTCTGGCTGCTGGAATATTGCATGAGTAGCATATAATAGCGCATTTAATTTTTTTACCTGTAGGAGATTCATTTGTGCAAATTTCTACTCCATTCCACAATTCAAGCAATTGATCAACCAAAGGTGCAAAATAATAGTTAATATGATGTGATTTAACTTCTTTGGGTCCTAGTAGCAATGCCAGAGTAATTATATTTTGAGGCTTGAATCTGAGTTTACAGGGCAAATTACAGATAACTACATATATTGCACCAGTAGAATATATAGAATTTTGGAAGAGACTAAACCAGTCCAGATTAATCATAAGGCCAAGATGTATATTAGCATATTTTGATGTAAAAAAATCTTTATCTTGATCTTTAAAATTTTTTCATATATTACCTTCATAAATATTGGCAAGGTAATTATTATTTATATTTCTATTAACCCATTTTCTGCATGATACTTCAAATCCGGGTTGGCTATATAATAACTTGAGCTGATATTTAATACTAATTGTTGGATAAGTAAGCAAAGAATGATATAATGTTCCTTCCTTTGTAGGTACTTTCTTTGCCAATTGTTGATTATAAGGTTGGCTCATTTTAGATATTGGGTGATTAGAATATTTTACAAAATTACAATTAAGACATATTGGAATTTGTCCAGGCAATTTTGTTGATACTTTATCAGATTCATATAACTTATTATATTCTGAACATGTTGTATAATTATTTATGCATATATCTAATCTTATTAATTTTTGAGCCATATATAGTGATTCAAGAAAGTTTTTGAATTGGTTTTTATTAAGATTTGTTAATGGATAATGCATAAATTTAATTAATAATTCTGTTGCAGTATTAGGCAACTGATATCTTTGTTGGTATTTCAAGATCTATAATAATATCTAACTAAAGTCTTTAAGATTTTCAATATCTTCAAATATTTTTTTATCTCTGCTTTCAATATTGGGAGCAGAATAATCTATTATGGTCTCCTCATCATCGCTTTCAGATTCTATTTTTGCAACTTCTTCATAATCAGAGATATCTAAAGTCTCTAAAACTATATCAATATCGGGTTGTTCTCTAATTATAGCTT